CACTCCCAGGAGCCCTCAAGGAGCTCTTCCCACTCCCAGGAGCCCTCGAGGAGCTCTTCCCATGCCCAGGGGATCTCTGGGAGCTGTTCCCAGGCCACTCACCCCCGGAGAGCATGAAGAGGTTCTCGAAGCCCCTCTCACACATGGTGGTGGCCGCCTGGCTGGCCAAGCGCTCGTCGTTGTCGTACACGATGATGATCTTCCCGTGGGCGTTTTTCTGGGAATGGCTAAGGAGGAGGCACTGCTGGACTCGAGGGGCACAGCAACACGTTTTGGGAAGTAAAACAAACAAACAAAAAGGGACCAAAAAACCAAAAAACGGGATTTGGGACTGAGGGACTCCACGACTTGTAAACGTCGTTCATCGTCCCTGCCTGAGGAATGATGGGAGGAGGAATTCAGTCTTTTCCTCCTGGATTCCCAGTGGCTGGGACTTGAATCCCCACGGGATTCAGTGTTTGGAGGTTGGTTGGTGACAGGGAACAGCAAGAAGCACCTTTGTTTACAACACCTCCCCCTCACGACAGCCAACAACTGGGAATGATCAGCCTAATCCAGCCTCCTAATCCTCTTTTTCTGCCCTCAATCCCCATCAAGGTGCTGACAGGAAGCCAAAGGATTTGATGGATCTATCCCTGCAGCAACAGGAGAGCAGTGCCCACGGAGGGCTTTGCCTTTCAGCAGCCCAAATCCCAAGAAATGCCAAATCCAGCTCCCTCTGGAGCCAGGAGGAACCTTGAGGAATTCGAATCCAGCAGCAGAGCCGCCCCAGGTGATCCCAGGATCTCCTGTCCCACCTTCCTCGGGATTCCCAATTTTGCTTGGCTAAGATCCAGCTGGTTTTGGGAGCCCCTCCCCACCAACATCCCCCTCATTTTTTTCCCCTGTGCCAGCACTTTCCACGGAAAGGATACATATTCCAGAATACTGTTTGTGTATGGATTCATGGTCCTGGACAGCGTGGCAATAGGGTAGGAATAAGCTGCAGGAGAGGGGAAAAAAAGAGGGATAAATCATCCAGTGGCTGCACACCAACAGCTGGGATACAACAGGGATTTATTGGAGTTCTACAGCCCTGGAAACCCAGGGAATAAGGGATTAAATGAGCTCAGTCCTGGCTGGATTGGATGTCCCAAAGATGTCCCACCAGGCAGAGCTGGCTGTGGAATTGTGTCCCCTCACCTCCCACAATGTGACACTGGTCGTAGGCGTCCCGATCCCGCACGTCCAGGAGCAGGAAGGGACAGTCTGGATAGGGCAGGTCCTTGGCCTGGGTGTCCTCCTTCTTCGGAGAGTCCTTCTCGATGTCCATCTCCCCAACCCCGCTGATCACGCTGGGAAAGGGAAGGGCAGGGTGAGGTGGGAGCTGGGAAAGCTCATTCCCGACATTTTGGGGCCCCTCTCCGGCGGCTCCGAGTGCTTGGGAAGAGCTGGGATAAAGTATCGTTCTGGGATCCCTGAGCTTGGCAGGGACATGGGGATTCGGGAATTGGACTCGTTCTCAAGGATTCCAGGATGGTTTGGGTTGGAAGGGACCTTAAAAGATCATCCATGGGCAGGGACACCTTCCACTATCCCAGGTTGCTCCAGCCTGGCCCTTGGACACTTCCAGGGATCCAGGGGCAGCCACAGCTTCTCTGGGAGATTCATTCCAGCCCCTCCCCACCCTCCCAGCCAGGAATTCCTTCCCAATATCCCATCTATCCCTCTGGCAGCGGGAAGCCATTCCCCCTTGTCCTGCCATTCCATATCCTCGTGAGAAGATCCTCATAAATGAAGATCCTTGGGAAAGCACAGGGCTGAGCTCTGTGCCCTAATCCCACACACATCCTGGAATGTGGGGGCCTGGATGGAATCCCACCAACACATTCCCTCATCAGCCATTTAAACCATCGCCAGGTGGCAACAGTGCTGGGAATCCACCCTCAATCCAAGTAGGAAAACCCTGGCAGACCCTTCTCCCTCACACCTCCAAATCCAGGCTTTTTTAATGAGAAAAATGGGATAAAGCCACTTGGCAGGAATTTCAAGAGCTGGATGAATTAACCTAAGACAAGGAAGCTGTGGGTTAAGGAGGCACCTCTGGAGTGTGGAACGCTGGGATTCCCCAGGTCCTGTGCTGTTCAGGAACAGGACTGGATTGGGGGCCTCCTCGGGGCTTCCCTTCCCGTTTGTCCCCGCTGCCACCTCGGCATCTTCACCTGGAGCAGCAGCATCTGGGGACAGAGCAGGGCACGGGCACTTAAAGAGCTGCAGGGAGTCAACAAGCAGGTTTTAAGCCCAGTTTCTAATCTTGGACTAAAGTGTGACAGCCTTGGGCTCATCCTCTTACAGGGATCATTCCCCCAGGGCCCCACGGTCTAATTAAAGGGCCAGAGAAAGAGGCTCAGAGTTATTCCCAATGATAAAGAGCCCCCAAAAATATAACAAAGAGACCCCAAAAACACAAAAAAAGAGCCTCAAAAATATAAAAAATAAAGAAGACCCCCAAAAGATAAAGAAGAGCCCCAAAAAAGATAAAGAGCCCCTAAAAAAATAAAGAGCCGAAATAAAAAATAAAGAGCTCAAAAAACAAAATAAAGAATCCCCCCCAAAATAATAAAGAGAGCCCCAAAAAGATAAAGAGCCTCAAAAAAATAAAGAGTCCCAAAAAAATAAGGAGCCCCCCAAAAGATAAAGAGGAGCCCTCAAAAAGATAAAGAGACAAAATAAAAAACAAAGAGCCCCCCTCAAAAAAAAATTAAGAGCCCCCCAAAAAATAAAGAAGAGCCCCCCAAAAAGAAAGAGGCAAAATAAAAAACAAAGAGCCCCCCCTCCCAAAAAATAAAGAGCTCTCCAAAAATATAAAAAAGAGCCCAAAAATTACAAAAAAAAGAGTCTCAAAAATATAAAAAATAAAGAAGACTGAAAAAAATAAAGAAGAGCCCCAAAAAGATAAAGAGCCTCAAAAAAATAAAGAAGAGCCCCCAAAAATAAAGAGCCAAAATAAAAAACAAAGAGCTCCCCCAAAAAATAAAGAGCCCCCAAAAAAATAAAGAAGAGCCCCAAAAAAGAAAGAGGGAAAAAAAAAAAAAAAAAAGCCCCCCCCCCAAAAAAATAAAGAGCCCCCCAAAAAATAAAGAAGAGCCAAAGGGCTGGAGAGCCCAGATAATCAATAAAGAGCCCAAATAACATATAAAGGGTCCAAATAATCAATAAAGAGCCAAAGGGTTGGAGAGTCCAAATAATATAAAGAGCCCAAAAAATATAAAGAAAGAGCCCCCCCCCAAAAAAAAATCAATAAAAGGCCTAAATAATAATCAATAAAGGGTCCAAATAATAATAATAATAATAATAACAATAATAATAATAATACCAAATAATAATAACTATAATATTAAAAAAGGCCCCAATAATAATAATAGTAATAATAATAATGGGTACAAGTAATAATAATA